CACAACCACAAACTCCCGGACACACGCACACACGCACACACGCTTGCTTAATGGCGACTCCCCGTGGACTCGCAGCCCCTCGGCCTTTGTACGTGGACCTCAGGAGCTGCCCGGCCAGCTGCCCGACTTTAAAGAGCGAAACACTCTGCAGAGGCCGGAAACGGCTCCTGGTGTCAGCCGAGCATACGAGCAACACACGCTGTGTGTGTGTCTGTGTGTTTATTGTAACCTGCCAATATTAATACGCTTTGCTAAACTCGACAGCTGTCTCTGCGTTTCATCTTTCCACGCGGCTTCGAAAGCGCAAAAGGTTAGAAAGCTTCGAGCCCGAAATCCGACTTGAGCCTCTTCAGAGAGACTGGTGTTTTCTTAATGAGGGGATTTCTCTTAATGAAATAGTGGCCGAGTTGTTATTGTATCAAGTGCAGAAGTTCCCCAGGGAAGTCGACGGGCCAAGCCGCTAATTATGGACTTTACAGTGAAAAGACGTGGAAGACAATAACAGATCTGGCCTACCGTCAGAAACCGACAAGCCCGAGAGGAAAAACACCCGAGTGGCTGTAATAACATACACACAGGTGAATATGTGGACATCCAGACATTTTTATTGGTTTATAGAAATCAAAAAACAATGTGTGAAAATGTCATTAAAGGGAGTTCTCAAAACCGTCTGCGTTCCTCCCTCCTTCCCTAATTTTGCCTCCCCATCCCTGTGATGCACCACCGGTCAGAGGGAACAGCAAATTAAAGACTAAATTAAAATCCAGAGATTTTTATGAGTGACTTCGGCGTCCATGTTTTGTCGTTCTCTACAAAGCTCGCTCGATCTTTTCATCTACATCCATTAGCTGTTTTGTAAAGGCAAGAAGAAGAATATTTTCCCAAGCACATGGCATACATAAGAGATCCACTACAATCCTCTCACTGTGGTTCACTGGTATCTTCTAAATCGACTGACTCAGGAAATTGAATGCACCACTATTCTGTAAGAATTCCTCTTGTGGCTGCAGCGGCAGCTTTTTATTGAAATAGTCGAAATGGATGGATATCTGACGACCTTTTCAAGAAAACAGTCGTCAGCCTTTTGTAACGTTATAAGAAGTATTTTAAAGAGAGAAGGCGGCCGGCGGTTGTTTCACTCTGAGCTCGTGGGACGAGTCGGAGAAAGCAGGAGGGGGGGGATTTGATGCCGGCGGTTTGTTGTTTGTTCTTCCTCAGAGGGACGGCTGGACAGCATTAGGAGTGTGAGCAAACTCGCTGACCACTGACCACGGACGAGTCCGCCCGTCAGACACCCCCAGGGCCTCTTCTGCACAGTCTCGCCTTCTCCGCCTCCCATCCAAGAACACCGCCTTTCTTTTCCGTCTTTAGTTTGCTTCGGTGTGTCTCTCTCCCTTCCTTCGTTCCTTCGTCCTCCTCCTCCCTTTAGATTTTCGTCACGTTATTTGTACTTTTCCACCGTAACTAAATAATTGTGGATTGCATCCTCGCAAACTTTCCGTGTGTATGAAGATCTCTGCACAGAAAGGCCTCTGGCTCAATTTCCACTTTCACTTTCAGCATCTTTTCCCTTCCTTTGCTCCTTAAAGAGGCGTTCGTCTTATTAAACTTCACCCACCAAACCAAAATTCCTTCAGTTCTTCCAAAAGCTTGTATTCAGCTCAACACTAATGCAGCTTCATGCGCCGTCCATTTGATTGTTTATTCCATGACGATAGTATTATATATTGATTATTTCTGATGTGACATTAGCCCCTCCTTCACAAAGTCTTTTGCCAAATACAAAATATAAAAAAATATTGACCACTGAATTTTAAGTCATTTTTCTGCCATGATTTAAAGATACAAACTATTAACCACTCAGCATGTGTCGTGTGTGTGTGTGTATATGTGGGGAGGTTGTCATAGTACCTACAGCAGCACCAGATGTTGCTCAGGTGGAAACGATAAATCAGTTGAACCTGCCAAATGTCCGTCTCACTCGCTCTGTCACCGGCTGCTTCAGCCGTTCATCATTTCTGTTTCTTCCTCCAGCCGCCGTTTGTCCCCTCGGCCTCTCTCTCTTCCTCGCTAGCACGACCGACTCGGCCTTTCTTCGTCTGGTCTTGTCATCTGTCTTTATTTTCTTCTCATGTGTTATTTTAACGGCCATAAATCTTTTTTTTTTTATGTGTATCCGTTGCAATTCCAGTTATCAACACTTCTGAACACTCTCATAGTTTCTTCCTCTTCTATTTCAAATCCTTATGTTCTGTCACGCTCACTACCATGGATGATGATGTTGCAGTCATCAGTTATTCTCCCTTCTTTCTATGGTTTTCTTGTTGTCTCCGTCTCTACTCCCAGATTACGTCCCCCTCAGTGTTTAGGTGAATCATGAGAATGTATTTGAATGAATGTATTTTCTTGTTAACCTCCACGGCTCGTGAGTGCGAATGCATTTTTCTTCCTGTTTTTGTGCCTTTTCTCATGAACTGGTGACCAGCAAAGGGAGAACAGCATAAAATAAAGCCATAAAATACAGCGCAGCTACCGATAAGTGTTCTCTCACGTATGATACTTCCCACACAGCGCCGTTAGCACCCAATCACTACAATAATCACTCTTTCCCCATCTTTATAGTCACTCCCCATTCCTCACCGAACGCTCCAAATGTAAATCCCTTTTCCCTCCTGTGTGTTCCGGCCCCCAAAGCTCACGTCGTGGTGGATTTAGCGCCGAGGATCGCGCTCCGTGCAAAGACTTCCCCTTTGGTTTTAAATGCAAAAACCTCAGTGGATTGGAGCTGAGAAGGTGGCCCGGCAGCTGGAACGCTATCGAAAACACGGGACCAGACGGCACGCCGCCCTCTCTGCTCCACTTACCGAAACTGTGCCGGATTAGTGAATCAGTCCGTGAATGGGCGATGGTGGGAAGTTCACGTCCTCTGAAATAGTTAAGTGTGAGCAGCCTGTTCAGCTCCGCGTACTGGTTGTAAATCCATGTGAATGAACGATGACTAACACACAACATTAAAAAGGCTTTCAGGCAATTTAGTATTTGTTCTTCCAAAAAGTGACGGGAGCTGTGAGTGGGGGATAAAATAAAAAGGAACTTTCCACATCAAAGCCACAGATGCTGAGATCTACTGGCGTGTAGTCTCTTCTTATGGGACAAAACTCACCCCTATATTCCCCATAATGCAATCAATATCATCTTTTTGTCAGGTCCCCTCCAAGAATCTGAAATGTACATCTAATGCATAGATCACATACTCTGAGCACTGAATGCGCACCGCAGCAGACGTAATGAATATTCGATACACGTGAAACTCCTCCTGACCTTTCCAACCACCTACAGTCAGTTTATCAGAGTTGTTGTGCCAAATACTCAGTCGATTCCTGTAGAGGGGAAAATGAAATTCCAAGCTGCCGGTGTTTGAGCCCTGGGCGGTTGAAGGGAGTGTTGTAAAGTCATTTTGAGTGCGCTGACCTCTGCTTAAAGCCTCCACGCAAGACACACAAGCTTAGCAGATCTATCAGGCCTTCAACACCAGACCAGTGCTCTCGCACATCTGTATCTGTGGGGTGGGGTGGGCAGCTTGTGGAGTGCGATGATGAAATGGTCACTGTCATGATGTGGCTCACATTTTCTCTCTCTGTGTTCTTTGCCTCGTTGGAAAGCATCTGAAGTAGAGAGACACATAACTGGCTCAGACGCAAACTGGGAGGCTTCAATTACTGTAATTAGTTAGAATCACGTCACAGCATTTTGCTTCAGGACTTTACTGATTGAAGCTCGGAGGCGTCCCCTCCCGGCCCCCGCTGCTCGGTTCTTACTTAACTTTAGCATGTATGTAAGTGGGAAGTGCCTGGGGATCAGGGGAGCTCTGACCTTCCTGGGTGTGGACACAAGGCGGGGCCGGCGCTTTCGGGACAGTCTGATTGGTTCCTATGTTCTCACATCAACGCAATTTTCTCTCTTCGGGAATGACTCTGGGAACAAAATGTGTCATTGGTGCATTTTCGGGTGGGTCCCCACATCATAAAATTACCAGACAGCTTTAACAAGCCTGGCTCGGGCGCAAAACCAAATTCTTCGAACCAGAGCTTTTGACTGTAAAATGACCCAAATGAATCTTCAAAATAAAATACCTGTTTGCGGTAAAAGAATTGGCCTCACACACTTTGCCTTTACGCTTCGAGTGTGATGCAGTTGGAGCTGTGAGGGTGTTCGGATGTGTGTTTTTGCAGAAAATAGCACTTTTTTTTCCTTCTTTTTTTTAGGGCTCAGAAATGACTGTTTATGTCTAGATGGGTATTTCTGTACATGACCTTCTAATTGCACACGACATGCACCTCTATTCACCCCCATCCCACCCTCCCCCCCTTCACTCTTGGTGTCCGGCGACAAACTGCCTCTGCTGGCTCTTTGCTGTGGGAGGAAAAACCTCCAGCTGGGACAGGAAGAGCCCCGGAGAGCACAGTATCATTACGGCGCATATTGCACTTAAAAGCATAGCAGGCAGCACATTTGTTGGTTTTGTCATCTCACGCCGTCAGAAGTGGTCATGGGCTTTTGCTTCGGACTGATGATAACAGGGGGTTATTTAGGGAAACTGGAAACCACAAAACCTATTAGGCCGTAAGTATAAATCTCTTGTGATGGTTTTTAAAGGCTTTTATGGTCGACCTCAGCGCAGGATATCTGCTTATCGCTCACTGATGTATATTTACACTGAAACACCCTTTGTAAATATGCAATTTGAAGAGAATGCGCGATAAACCAGGGACAAGCCGCTAAAAAGGACAGAAAAGGTCAGAAAAGACCAGGTTGTCCATAGGAACAGACCTTGCACTCTAGTATTTAACTTTTGTAACGTTATAAGAAGTATATACTGTACCATGCTTGTCTCTCCGTATTAACTCTACTGTCTCTTTGTGCTCAGTCATTTAATCCCGTGTGTGTGTGTGTGTGTGTGTGTGTGTGTGTGTGTGTGTGTGTGTGTTTCCATGCCACAGTGGAGTACGACAGGGAGCTCTCTCCGCAGCGGCGTCACCACAAGGAGTTTAAGTTCAACCTCTCACAGATCCCAGAGGGCGAGGCCGTCACCGCAGCAGAATTCCGCCTCTACAAGGAGTGTGTGAGCCGCGCCTTCCGCAACGACACCTTCCTAGTCAAAGTCTACCAGGTGGTCAAGGAGCATCCTCACAGGTAACACACACACGCAGGCACACACACAACTTGTATGAAATGTACATACTGGTACATATTTGGCTTCTTAAGAAGCTTTGAGTGGATTCTAAAGCATGCACACGTGCATTACCTCACCCAGGGTGTCTGGTGGGTTTGCAGAGGAGTGGCACTGGGATTGCACTGAGAATGGACAGGTCAGCAAATAAAGGGTGGTCCTGAAAATAGCGCGCATGCTCTGTTGACCTTTGCGGGATACAAGCAGTGGAGGACTATGACTTAGTTGCCTCGCCAGGTGTGTTTCTCTCTGTCCGTCTCCCTGTTACATAGGCACTGGGCCCTTGCAATGTTTGTATTGTAAAATCAGGTAAAAACCAAGTCTTACAGAAATAGCGCCGCTTCAAAAGTCTTCGCTTCAACTGAGCGCAGCTAATGCATGCCAAACATTTACATTACGTCTGCATGGCTGGATAAACATCCAGTGAGATTTCTGAATGATATTTGTGTTTTATCAAGCCCGCCCAGCAAGAACTCCAACATGAAGACAGCTCCTGAAATACATTTTTATATATATATACATATATATACTTTTAAATGTATTTTGAGTTGAATATTGTCAGGTAGAAAAATGAAGGTGGGGTGTTTAACACCAAATGTTTGCTGACTTCAGTCCTCGGCTGAAACTCATCCGCTCTCAGGCCTGCAGATTGAAAAACGCAGCTTTAGGTGTTTGCAAAGTATATTTTTCTGTCCGTCAAACGGCTTCTTTGGGTATCAAGGGCTACTTATTTGGTGCATTCCTTTATGCCTACAATAGGTGGTTTGTGCGCCACAGCCCGGAGGTAAAGCCCTTTATTTTCGGAGATATTTGGAGATTAAAGGGCCCATATATCTCCAATTTCTGTATTATTGTAGGACAGATTTCTACCTTGAAGAAAATTACAGCCTTGCTGGAGTGCTATCAGGGGAGGAAGATTTGCTCCCGATGCGTTTGTGCTTTGTTGGCGTGAATTCAAAGTGCAACAGGCATCCAGTGACGCAACCAGTAAGCTCTAAACTCCTTTTTATTGTCTGTGATTGTGGCGTGACCTTTAAGGTTCGGCGGTTTATATGCTGTTGTTGAGTCCGTTGTTGTGGTATTCCCCCATTTTCCACCTTTTGGTATAATCTCTTCCTATGTAGTTGCCCCATCAGCGGGGAGCCTATTAACTTTCTCGTGCCCCTCCTTCCCGCAAAGACCCGACTCCTTTTTTGACTCTAAGCCGTAATGATAGAGCGCTTAATTATCCTGACACCCTTTGTACTTTTCATTTGATTGGGAGGGGGGGGGTTGCTAGCAGCAAGCAAGGAATGTGAGAGATTACAATGCCAGAAATGTAGCAAACCTGACATGGGTTTGAGAGGCAGGTCGCTCTAAAGCCCGTTTCTACCGACCCGAACCCATTCAGCTGCTTCTTTAATAGTTCTGCTGCACCGGGCAAGATGGTTTTATTTGAGCGTGTTTAAGCGTAACATAGCCTCTACTCTGATCGCTGCTTAGCTGTTCTTCCATATGAACCCGGAGTTCTAATCTGTACTAGAAACCTCTGCATCCTTATCATCCAAACTCAGGTTTTACAATCCTACAAAATATCCCCTCTCAGCAGTTTTAAAGATGAAAGCACACAAAATAACCAGGCCAGCTGTGTGCCACGCTCTCCCACCTTGAGATACATTTTCAACAACATTCACTGACAACACTTATAATGGAGATTTATGGTAGTAAAAAAAAAAAAACACCCACCACTTTCACCTTTCACCTTATTATTCCAGTTCATTTAAGCAGTCAGTCAATAGTCCGCTTTAAAGTCGCCTCCCGGTTGCCTTCGCCTTGCAGGCGGCTCTCTGGTGGACCCCCTGCCTCCTTCTTCAGCCCAACGGCGGCTGTGACGAGGAGGGAGAAACACCAGTAAACTGGCAACGTGTGAACCTCGCACAGTGTGTGTGTGTGTGTTTGAGGGGGGAATAGAGGCTTATACGGAAACTGTCCAAAACACTCTCATTAATGACCAATAAAGAGGGGACTGTGATGCATGACTGCAGGGGAATTCTCCAAACACCTGGATGATTGTGAGTCTTTGATGTGGGCTCTGCAGGAGGGTCCGACGGACCCGCCGCTGTGTCATTACTACTGTAATGGGATGGTGGGAGGACAGGCCCTCTTATCACTCACACGGCCTTTTTCTCTACAACTCCCCCTGCTCTCTTTTCATTAATTCCTCCTCACTCGCATCACGTGGGGGCTTTTTTTGTTTTTTTGTTTTTTTTTCTTCCCGGGCATGACACGTTATTTCATTCTGCAGCCGTATTTCGTTCCCTAGCAATGTTGTAAATGACATAAACATACCTGTAGCCGGATACCGCAGATTTAATGCCTTCCGTTTCCCCCTGTCCCTCAGAGAGGTAGAGCGTGTGGTCAGACCCACCGTGGAGTACAATACAGCGTATCCCAGCCTTTTTCTTTTTAAGTACAGCTATTCATCTTTCTGTCACTTGGGTTTGATTCTGTTACTCTGATACAAACCACCAGCTCCTGTGTTTCCCCTGGTTGCTTCCAGGGGTATAATTCTCTTCTGGGGTTCTGAGCTGCAGTGTAATGGGGTTGTAGTTTATGCTGTAGACTGACTAAATAAATAAAATACAATGTACCAACTTTACAGTGCATAATTATTAGAGTCAAGCACATTAGACATTTTATTTTCCCTTTGCTCTCACATTGGAAGTTGGGCTGCAGTTGTTTTTGCTCACACCTAGTTTGTCACCCTCCTTGTTTCATGTACTCTTCTTATATCATCTGGAGATCTTTTGTTGACTCCACCTTTTATTCTGAAATGTTGAGTGATGCCTCATATAGCATTAGGAAACCGTTTTGATGACTACAGCGCAGGTCTGGGAAAACCTCAAAGAGCTTAAAACCTGGTCGGGGTGAAGTGCATTTAGGTCATTAAACTTTGAATACATATTGCGCGAGGCTTGATAACAGCTGCTTATTTCTCTTGCTTCCCATCGTCTTTTCGTTGGATGACAGTTTTGACTGTTTTAAGTTTCCCTGTCAATCAGCTCCACCCACCGTCCACACATCTCTGTTATATCTCGCTCTGTATGTTCCCAGAGAGGCCGACTTCTTCCTGCTGGAGTCCGCAGGCTGTGGGCGTCCGAGGAGGGCTGGCTGGAGTTTGACATCACGGCCACCAGCAACCTGTGGGTGATGAGCCCGGCGCACAACCTGGGCCTGCAGGTCAGCGTGGAGACCAGCGGCGGTAAGAGATCCAGCTCACGCGCTCACGGCGTCTGGTAACCCCGGAACGCCGCGGTCCACCTCGCCGTGGCCTAGTTTTTGAAAGCCGTGTCGTCTGAAACAGGGCGGAGCATCGGCTCCAAGGAGGCGGGGCTCGCCGGCCGCGACGGCGCGCTGGAGAAGCAGCCTTTCATGGTGGCGTTCTTCAAAGTCAGCGAAGTGCACATCCGCTCCGCCCGCTCCGCCGGCGGCGGTAAGCGTCGGCAGCAGAACCGCAACCGGTCCACGCAGCCGCAGGACGGATCCAGAGGGCTCGGCCCGGCAGGTCAGTGCGCATGAGCGAGCACCGAGCCAGTCAGACGCAGAACTGACCTCAACGCCCCAAGATGATGTGGAACACATCAGCGGATGTGTAGCATGTGTTAGAAGTGTTCCCGTTGGAGACGCTCGATGAATCAGACCTGACTTTTGACACCCGGATCTCCCTCTGATCAGCCCGCTTCAGAGGAGCGTCCCAGCAGGGGGGGATGCTGAAGATCTGTTTTTGCTGCAGTTTCGTTGCACAGAGGAAGCGTATCCCGAAGCTGGCGAATGTAATGTTCCTCAGAGCTCCACACAACGTTTTGTTTTGTGGTGCCGTGTTGCAGGAGAGTTGAGCCAGAGAGTTGGAGTCGCATAGTCATGTTGGGGAGAGAATAGAGAGGATTTCAGAAAGTTATTGTAGCACGAAGAGGTTTATGAGACAAATTGACTTACTTTACTTTTTTGGAGGCTTTGGAGAACACTTTAAGTGCTCACTAGAATTTGTTGGAAGCAAAATGTCAAAGACACAAAATAGTGGCCGTATATATTCACGGCGAATGCGTCTTGACAGGTGACCTCATCCTCTGAGCCTCCTCATTAGTCCTCCCCGCTTCTCTTCCTGCTCAGCAGTATGATGTAATGAGCAGGTGTAAGCCTCGTGTTATGAACTCTGCAAGCTTTTCAAATTAAATCAAACCCTAATCCGCCCACCTTTCACCTGCTGCGTGATTCTGGCCGGACTTTACAGCGCTTACAGCTTAGCTTCTCCTGTGAGGCTTCATTGTGCGACCAGTGCAGCGCATAAAGGAAATGCTCGGGGAGCCTGCTGTTAAAGGCCGTCTGATCCGCGGGTTGATTTGATAGATGAGGCATTATGTTAATGTTAAGCCTCCGTGGCCCAAAACCCTTTGACTCCCTCAATAAAAAATTCCAGATGCTCAACGTTTTCCAAAAGTCTTGCTTTCTACAACAACAGCAGCACGCTACATCCTAAACATTGGTTGGGGACATAAACTGTTACATGCTCATTTGTCTGAAGGATCATAGCATTATGTAACTTGTGTCAATGGACAATGGATTTATGGAAGCCTAAAACCTGGATACAATCTGACTACAATCAGAAATATATGTTAAGGTGAGCACAGTAATGTTTGGAACATCCCAGAAGCCGAAGCCGCGCACACCGACCTGCGGCTCTCTAGCGGGACTTGTGATAAATGATGTGGAGAATCACCCAAAGCTTAAAGACCTGTCCTAAAGCGGCCGATTCTCCGTTTGAAATGGCTCGAGTCTGCAGCTTAAAAACCCGCCTAAATCCGTCTCCCATTCGGTTCCCTGGTGCCAGAACACATCTGGGTGCACCGACACAGCTGTACTTGGCCGGCTACCTGGGAAGCGATTTACCTTTTGCTTTTCTTTTGCCGCTCCTCCGTTAAATGGCTCTACCATCTGCGTGATGTACAGGAGTATTCGTGGGACAGGTCGGGTTTGCGCTCGTTAATTCTCTGAAAAACCCTCGCTGACATTTATTTTGGCTCCATTTCCTGTTTGTTCAGAACATCTCCTTCACTTTCTCATTCGGTTGCTGTGTGCTGCTGTTAACACAACAAATTGGAAATAAAATTCCTGCATGACTTTTCCTCCATCGATGCAGTAGATGACATAGCGGACCAAAAGCGTACGCTGTCCCAGCCACTTGTCTTTGTCTTGAGATGCCTTGAAGAGGAGACACGCCGCGACCAAGGAAGTTCAGTCTCATTTCGTGCACCAGACCGTCTCTGCTGAGTAAATCTGCTCTAACGAGGACAAACAGTTAAATAGGCGTCCTGGAGGATTGGACTTTACGTAACCCGAAACATCAAGACCTCTCCGCCTCACCACTCGGGACGCCGGGGAGTGTAAATATTTAGATCCTGCGCAGGAAGCGGGGAGCCCCCCCCTCGCGACAGCCGAGTGTCCGTGGCCAGCGCGGGACGGCTGGGCTTGGACGGGATGGGAGGATCCGTGAGGAATTCAGGCGGGCATATGGTTTCAATACCGCATCGCTCACTCCAGAGACGGGGAGGAGGACAGGAGGGATGGGGAGAGCATCCGTCTTGTGGGGGGGAAACAAAATGTGGACGTTGCACCCCAGTTTCTGTTGGGCGCAGCGCTGTAGTACAGCTCAGGCCACCACAGCGGCAACTAAAAGGAGTATTTCCCCAATAATTCACCCCGATACGTCTTTTTTCCCAAGAAAAACGTGACATCTTAAGGCCGGAAGGTACGAACATGTTTGTTTTCAAGTGCTCTCGTGGGCATTAACTTCCACATCGGGGCATTTAAAACAAGCGTGAGTTACTGTGTGCTTTCTAAAAATAGTTTCCCTCCTCGGACCAAACTGCACACTCCGGACCTGTGTGGTTGACCACGGCTCTGATTTTACTGCATCTTGTTTATTATTATTTATTAACATTTTGTCATTTTTCATTTCCTACATTTGGCTGCTCCGCTTTGCGTTGTCACTATTTACTGAAATGCCTCTTTGTCGCTAAAACTGTGGAACTTAACTTTGCCTACTGTACTCGCTTTGAGGTCCTGGGACCGGTTATTTCTTCATTTTCACATTTTTATTGAGCTGGATTGAAAATAACATGTGATAATAAATGCCTTCCAGGTGAGAGAATTCAACAAAAGAGTTCTATCAAGTCCTGAGATGAGGGTGACTTCCGTTTTTCACATTTGCTCACAAGGCAGACAATTAGACACTCCTTCTAGTTCTAGTTTAGTTTCTTTCTTAAACTCCGACGTGCGTTGGATGTGTAAATGGCTTTGTAGGAATGTAGCTTCCGCTCGCTCTGGGCGTGCCTGCTGTGTGCGCGGTGGAAAATGCTGCCGTGTACCTTGCCAAAAGAACAATGCGACACCTTTAAAGGTAATTTGGGGTTTTGTGGGCGAAGACGGCCGAGGAGGTAATGGGAGTCGGGTTGGGCTGCGGCTGTGGGGGAAGTTAACAACCATCCGGGGAAGGAGAATCGCGTCCCGGCTGCAGAGGCGGCCTGTAATTAGGCCTAGCCAGTCATTAGCTGCGCGGCTAAAAGGCCGACCGCGCTAACAGCCTCGCTTAAAGAATTATAATAACACGGCGCTCGGGCCAGCCATGTTTTTTCATCTGTCTCTCCTCTCCTCCCTCCGCCTCCTCCTCATCCTCCGCGCTGCCTCCCCACCCGACCTTTTGTTTACCGTCGGGGTAATTAGACATGGCGGAGCTCCCTCGCAGGGTTTAATAACCTCTGTGATGAAAGACGGGAAGAAAGATAAACTTCAGTAGTAGTGGTCGGTGGGAGAGGGGAGGTGGGGGCGGGAGAGGCCATCAGGACTCTCTCCTTCCTCCTCCCCGGGTTACTGACCCAGATTCCAACGTTGGGCCTAAATAACCCGAGTTCTCCGTCACCCCCCCGCCCCCCTTCCCCCTCTATGTAATCGATACTGTAAAGAGCTGCAATCTTGTCTCACTCTTGATTTGAGGAATGGCCTAAATGGACCGGCTATAGAGTTACAGTGAGATTGTGTCCCGCCGGGGGTTGAAATGTCTTTTTAATGTCACGCGTCACACACGCACTCACACACGCTTCCCGGACCAAACGCCCCGGCTGTAAAGTCTGAATTGGCGCCATTTAATTCTTGGTGTTTTTCTAGCGACATGTCATGAATATGACTTACGGCTTTTTCCTCCTAGCGAAGGTGCTGGGGAAAGTGTTTGTGGAAGGATGAATGGCGGCTAGTGTAGCGGGAGGTTAATATCAGCCGGGCACATTATGTTGAACGTCTCGGCGTTAAAGAGCCGCGGCGCTCGCGCTCAGTGAAGGAGCAGTGTTCGCTATCCGATATACCGGTAGTGGCCCCTCCACCTCTATGAACTTCATGTGATTTGGCTTGAGAGGAGAGTTTTAGTGTCAGTGTCAAATGGAGGCTTGTCTACTCCCAGAGATATTTCCAGGTTACGGTAAGGTAAGCTGTGGTAATAAGCCGGGGGGAGCTCCAGGTCAGTAAAGGGAAATCCTGCTCCCATCTGATATTCAAATATTGGAAGCAGGTGGAATTCAAATTCAGCGTTTGCTTCTTCCTGTGCTGCCAATGCTTAGAGGGTTTAAGTGTGTTTGGAAATATCCTTATTCACTTTCTTTGTAAAATATCAGATATTAATCGATGCGCTCTGATGATGCCGGTAGGTTTGATTTTGTTTGTGCTCCCAACCTTCATATTCAGCCTGCAGACGCATGAATCATACGCAACAAGCCCATTCTCCAAAAGGTCAATCTAATCCTTGAATGTAAAAGGGTCATAAAAGCATCTGAATTATGTTATTTATCTTATATTTACAACTTACTGATATATACGCACAAGTGGGGTAAGAACAGCCTTCTAATTAACGTGGTCGTAAATAGCGGTGTACAGATGTGCATGATGTGTGCAGTGAGTCTCCTTCCCACCTCTGTGTTCTGTCCCGGGAAGGAAAAAGAACTGAGCGAAGCCTCGTGGGAGCCGGAGCTCGGCGGTGGCTGTGTGGCATTACGTTTTTACAGGCAGGAAGGGGAGACGTGGTTTATGGCCACCACAAATCTGGGCCTTTACACTCCAATGAAAGCGCACAGTAAATATCAGCTTTATTCCTCCAAACGACTTCGGCTCTGAAGGGGTGCAAGGAGAATGAGTTTTGTGTGAGAGAGCGAGGTCAAGGGAACGGCTCGTGCTGTACGGCATGCGGCCATCACAGGCCATATATCAGCTGATAATAAGTAAATAAATGATAGATATTGCTGCTCAATTGAACTTAAACGTAATGTTTTATCATTTTATCATCACACTTTAAAGGCTTTGCAGCGTTTCCCTTCGATCATTCAGGTGAACTTCATGGCGAGGAGCTGTGTGCAGACAAACCCAATAGGGTGATCTGACCTCTGACATCCTAGCTGCCATGGAAACCCCACGAGGAACCCTATAATGAAGTCTGAAGCTCACCTCTCACCTAGAAATAGAAATGTCCAAACCGGTTTGATCCATATTCCAAACGGAGTCCCCAATCTCCACACGGTAATAAGTGTCTGCATCATCTGGACACACACGCTTGTCTGAATGGAAATGCCAATGTAGCCACACAGAAACACAGAAACACACACCTATAACTGTATTTCCACATTGGCACTCAGCCAGTGAGCTGCCCTTCCTATTGGAGAGGAAGGAACCGTAAACTGGGGAAACACCTGACTGTTTGAAGGCCACAGATCATCCGAGCTCACCTCGCGGCTGTCCGTCATCACCAGCGTCCCCTCTCGTCTCCTGTCCCATACGGACCCAACGCGTCTGATCAAGAGGACATGTTCGCGTTCCGCTTCGACGAAAAAGAAACCGTTAGATCGCCTGTAAATGTTCCCTTCAGATCGTCCGTCTCTTTCTCCGCCCGTCCGCCTGCTGTTGGTTTGTGCGTCTCCTGGGAATGAAGATTGATTTGATGATGACATCTTAATGCAAGTAGTGCAGGTCAGTTAAAATAAAAACTCTATTTTAAAGAATAGCTAAGTGAATTTGTCCGCTAAGCAGATCAGGTCACCGGTGTGTGTGTGTGTGTATTTGTGTGAGTACCGGTGGTAACGAATGATAGATGTAAGAAACTAACATCAGCTAAGTGTGTTTGTATGTAAGGTGTGTGTGTGTGTGTCGCTTTCTCCCAAAACCCAGCTGACTAAACACGCGTGCTGTTGGCGAGTTATTGAGGTGAGCGGCTGTGAAGTGACTGAATGATAAATCCCCCGTCGGCATTCGGACTCCTGTCACACACACACACACACACACACACACGGATCCACTTATACACGTGTGTAAATACACAGAATCTTCAACTGTTTATTATAAACTTCTGCATTTCTTTAGACAAATGTGAAGCACGGAAAAGGCCGACTAAGCAGTGAGCAGATCCGGGAGATCTGTTAACCACAAAACCTTAAAATACCTCAAAGCTGCTTTGTTTTCTTCCAATGTGTGACGTTATTGTAGCCGAAAAATATTCAGCACTAACTTCTTGGCTGAAGATGGAACCAGAAACCAGCATCGTGACCCCAAATGACCCCGTGACACCAAAAATAGTCAACCACGTGGAGGTTTTTAAGTCCCGGCAGTCACATTTTTATGATGAACTCATGCGACAGACTAGGATTACAGCTAAAGGCCACCAAGAAGCCGAGCTGGGTTTGCTCATATTAACACTACGGGAGCTTTCCTCCCCCCCCCCCCCCCCCCCTCTGGCATTGTCCCACTCCGGGTGGTTTTGGAAAGAAGTAAAAAAAAACAATGGCAACAATAACATCAAGGGGGCGAGACTGCGGCCGACCGTTAGAGGAGGACGTCAGTGGAAAAGTCTGCGGCGCCGCCGTTGACCTCAGCGCGGCGGCCGCTGCCAGCGATGACCTCCTCCTCCTCCTTCTCCTCGGCGGCGAGCTGCGAGCCAACCTTGTACCTGGGCCCTCCGCCGCTCCCGGGACGGAACGGGAGATAATTAGTGGGCGAAGCTCTCCGAGCCTCTCTCTAGCAAAACACGGCACGTCTTTTGAGTGCCGAGGAATCCAACTAGGCCCGCGTTCCAGCTCATTAGGCGGGCAGACGGACGCGAGGCGCGTGCGGCGCGGTGACATCTGTGGCCACGCCCTGGGCACAAGGCCAGGGCGCTGTGTCGCTCTGGACGTCATGAGTCGCTCGCGTGAGTAGCTCGACCCCGGAGGGGGGGTCCAAGCCGTCCCATCATCGCGCTGGGCCCCTGGAAACGCGGGTCAAATTCTCCGCTCTTGTTTGGTGGGCGAGGTGCAACCTCCTGATGATTTGTGTTGTTCTGTTGCAGATTACAACAGCAGCGACCAGAAGACGGCATGCAGACGGCACGAGCTCTTCGTGAGCTTCAGAGAGCTGGGCTGGCAGGTAGCCGACGTCTCCTCGTTCCATCCGCGATCCTTGGCGGCCGGTTTGATTTGCTTATCGATGCGGGAGAGGCTAAGAAAATCAACATTTTAAGGACCCATAAACCGACACATAATGTTTCATCTGAGTCTTCAAATCGGTTGGTCACCGTGACAACTGGTGTCAAATGTGTTTGTGACCAGGTGACGCGTCAAGTCAAGACGGGCGTCTCAATAGTTGCTTTCTTCAAATCTCCGCTCCATAATATTGAACTCGCATTATAAGGTAATAAAAGTCAAAGTAGCCTTTTGGGAGTATCCCTGTGTCTGTGTGTGTGTGTGTTTACAAGGAGACAGACTGAGGAAGACATAGAAGGAGTCACGTACGTCCGTCCTAACGAGCTGTTAACACAGCACTGACATCTAGAGGGAGACTGCCAGCACTTTCTTTCTTCCACACACACGGACAGAATGAGACAGGCCGATGCAGAAGAGACAGACTGAGGCGTTATTAACACACACTAGAGGAAGAAAACCGAAACAAGGCAGCGCAAAACCGGTGAGAGAGGAAGGAAGGAAGGAAGGAAGGAAGAAGCAGAGACTCAAGTGTTTGAGCAGTCGCGTCTTTAAAGACGGGCCAGCGAGACTCCTCTGGGTCTCTGCAACCGGTCGATGCTGCATAAAAAATAAACCCCACACACATAAAAGGGATGTGGTGTTGACTCGCAGCAGTTTGTCATCCAGCTGTTTTCTGCGACGCAAAGAGAAGGAAGGCGTCGTAAAGCAGACCTGACCCCCCTTCTCTCCGTTCGTTCCTCTGTGGCGCGTCGTCGTCACATTAGCACGTTTTCAGCGACTCGGTTCCACCGGCCCACGTTAACGCCTTCCCTCCGTGCGTTTCCCCCAGGATTGGATCATCGCTCCCGAAGGCTACGCAGCCAACTACTGTGACGGAGAGTGCTCCTTCCCCCTCAACGCCCACATGAACGCCACCAACCACGCCATCGTTCAGACGCTGGTGAGACCCGGGGGCGTGTCCCGCTCAGGGCGCTCCAGGTTTAACTCGGGGATGCGATGATGAATTTATTGGGGGGTCAAAGTCCTTTTCAAAACTCAAAGCACGTCTTTGCCATGACTTAAGAATGAATATACTAATCAAGACATCTGCCAATCTATGAGATTTCAAATCAGATTTTATTTTATTACACATCCTACTTCATTGGATGCTCAACAAACGTTTTATGTCGCACTACATGATGAGGTTGTTATGGCATATTATTTAAAGATATTTTAAGACTGAATACCTTGATACGCAAAGTGTACTCTGACTTTTTTTTTTTACTTTTTATATATTTCTATGCTAATAAGCTTTAAAGATGTTTTCTTAAATGACTACATCATGACTTTTATTATGACATAATATACGAATACCACACTAGAAATAGTTTTTCAACCTAACATACTGGGATTCTTTATGAACTCTCAACTTAAAATACTACGTTTGCTTTTGACATACATACAAAGACTTTTTTGTCATCACATAGTAAAATACGCTATTATGACTTTTTAAACTTACTATTCAATTCAATTACCTTTTTCAAGACGCTGCTTCTTCTTTTATTTGACACTTTTTAACTACATCTTGGACCCACTGTACTACAATGTTTTTTTGTGAAGGGTTTTATATACCATTAAGTTCCTCGCTATACCAAACGTGACCTTTTTAAAGGTTTAAAGAATGTCCTCTTGATTGTCAGGTGCACCTGATGAACCCGGAGAACGTACCGAAGCCCTGCTGTGCCCCCACCAAGCTCCACGCCATCTCTGTGCTCTACTTTGATGACAACTCCAACGTCATCCTGAAGAAGTACAAGAACATGGTGGTGCGGGCGTGCGGCTGCCACTGACGGCGATATCGAGGGCCGAACGATGCCGGGTTACAAGTTGGGGTTTGCAAAGGGCTGCAGCTGCAAAAGGGACTCCAGGGTGTGACGTTGACCTCAGCTAGACTCCCGGTTTAAATCCTCATCCTGCAAGGGACGTCCGCCCTGAAAGAGACGTTGACGTGATCCATTCAAATATTCTTGGGACGCTTCAGTTTTAGGAAACTTCACCCCTTCAATGTCGAGCCCCCGAGCTGTCAATCACCTCCTCCGTTAGCTGTGGAGGGTCTGCAACAAACGTGTGTGTGTGTGTGTGTGTGTGTGTGAGAGAGAGAGAGAGAGAGAGAGAGAGACAGTGGACTTTTAGTTTGTGTGTTCATGGAAGTGTGTGTGAGAGGCTACTGCCCCTCCTCCCTAGTAGCGAGGGAGGGGGCTGCACTGAACTGTCAGTCAGAGTGCTGCTTTCTGTTCCTTCTTCCAGAGGAGGCTCCAATAATGAGCAACAGCTTCTCTACATCACCTTGCGGAGTTTACTCAGTTTTATCAAAACCAACAATCATTAACGTCACCAGGTCAGTAGTTTATAGATGGAAAAATACAAACTCAATCGAATGATATATATATATTTTTTTCTTAAGCCTTATTTGCCCTCCTAAAATATAATACGGACTGAACCCAAGTGACCGCTGGCTATTTTAGTAGCCACTGCTCCAAATATCCCGTGTGTGTCAATATTTGCCAGACTCACTGCGAGCTGCGATTGACCAGGCTGGTTAAACATGGACGCATGTTGTGGCTAAACTGATGTTTATTCTCCGGAGAACCGAAGAATAAAGCCTTATCCCCACGTTGCTGCACTCTCAAAGTTAACAAATGCTTCCACCCCATCAAGAGATTGTGGGTTTTATAGCGTCAAAAACAGTTTGTTCTAGTGTTCAGAAATGATCCCAAGTGGCAACAGCTTTCCAATCGAATGTTACTGTGAGCTTTGAATGACTAACAAGAATCAATACCGTATGTGCCTAACCAATCATAAATTACAAAATATACCTCTGGTAAGCTGCTGTTTACATTTTTGATCATGTTTAGTCTGTTTTTTGTAAATACTTGTACATTCTCAGCTTATTTATTGCACCTTTTATTAAAGAAACACATACCTTATTAACAGACAGATGCAAGGACGAAATGAAAATACAAACTTATTTTTGAAATTTTTTATTATGAAATCTCATGTTACAATTTGCCATTATTCACTTTTTTTGTACAAAACCCATGGGTAGAGCACGGCCCATGACTCATAGGGGGGAAATATTTCTGTCACTGGAGTTCCTTAGACCATGTGCTATCCATAAAAACCTAGAGTAAAAAAAACTGCTGTGTCCGACTGTTTGTGTACCCGGGTTGTACAATAAAAAGGTGCCCTGCATCCTGCAGCTCACTCTCCTCCGGTCAAAGGGCATCCATTAGCGCATTAGCATGCTTCACACGTGGGTGAAGTCAGTCCCAGAGATATTTTCTTGAGCGGGGAACTGTTGGATTGCCGTTTTAGTCGAAGGGGGAAAAAGAAAATAATGTCACTGGTTTGTGACAGACGCACGTCAGGTAGTTCTATGGACTCAAGAGGCAGCTGGTTCAACCGCTAAGATGAGAATAGATCATGACATCATCAGGTCAGCCCACCTGACCCCGAGCTGCAGGAACCTCAGTCCCTCTCAAGTATCATTACAAAAATGTCCAATGTAAAGTAAAGTTCTAAAATAACTGAAACCTTATACCCTTGAAAAGATCACAAGAACTTACGGATAAATGTTCAGTGTCGTCCAGCTGAATTCCTAGTGCAAAGATCTGGACCTGCGTGTTTCACTTACAACACCAAGTGACCCAACAGTCTTTTACCTGCTCCACTTACTGCACCCGAGTTCTTTGGCTGTGGCCAAAAATACCCCAAAATGAACACATTTGAAGACGCAATGAAGAAAACAGTAGCAGCAGTCACTCTAAAGATGTTTACGAATGGCAAAATGGTCCAGGCCCGAGAACCTGGAGGAGCAGAGATGGATGACAGATCACAGGAGTCAGAAAATGGGTCAGCTGCACAGCAGCGATGTTCAGCATACCAAGTCTACTTAATTTATATTACTCTTTCCAAAAGATAACCATCGGCATCATTAGGGGAAAAAATAAACTTGTCCATGAGCCATTATCTGATCTGTGATCATGATTCATTCATCACTACTTCTTTGGGGCTGCAGGGCGGTTCCTCGAGAGTCGAGGCAGACAGGCCACTGCTGGCGTGGATAGAAAGTGCCCCCTACTTCACATGTGGGTGACAAACTTTCAAGCGACAGAACCTGAACATGCATGGCTTGTGATTTAAACAGATCCCACGTAAAAAAAATGTAGCAATTAAAAAAGGCAAATGGCTACGGAAGACTTTAAACCGCAGAAACTGTTTCTGGTGTGATTGAGCAGTGCGTGCAGAGTGGTTCCTGACATATTTCGTCACGCCCAACCAATAAGAAAGCATTTCTCATTAAAAGGTTGGGCAACAGCAATGAAATGTATTCAACCCCCCCCCAAAATACCCCACCTGTGCTGAAACATTGCGTCATTGTCTGACTCCTTTCTGAAGAGAACCCGAGATGAGAGCGATAGAGGGAGGTTTGGCTACTGCAGGAGAGAGAAAGAGGTGTCCTACAGGCCAGATATGGAGCGTGGTGGAGCGGAGCGGTGGAGGGTTCAGGCTACAGCTCGTCTCTCGCCTGCCTCATCACAAAGCTGTGCAGGCTCTCCAGGTCCCGCCCGCCATGATGCTCGTCACCCTGCTCCCCCGCCCGGAAGAGAATCAAGCTGGGGTAACCTCGAACCTGAACGGGGAGGGAAGAGAAACAACAGCTGCTTAATCCGTCTGCTTGGTCAAATATTCTGACGCAGCGGTTCAATATTTACCATTAAACAAAAAAAGATGGTGCATGAGTGAAGTTACCGCAGGAACTACACTCAAAAAGGTAGCAAAACTTGTATTGTACGCAATAAGTTTGTTTAATGATCGAAGCGCACAGCGTGTGTGTGCCAACATTTATTTACCCATGACTGTTAAATCTGCTTCAGGTTACAGTCTGAAGCGTCTCATTAAAGTATGTAGCAGTGACATTATTTTATGGCTCTGCAATAAAACCACCATCTTCACTTTATTACATCCTGTAAACACACTTAATCTTGAGGAAAATAAAAAGTTGACAGGAGGTTACATAAGGGATCAAAGTACTGCTTTGTGGATACTTACAGAGTATTTGTTGCAGAGCGTGCGCTCAACAGTGCAGTCAACTTTGGCTATCTTTACGTCAGTAAGGCCGGAGAACTCCTTGTTGGAAAGATCCTCCCACGTCGGAGCGAGGTTCTTACAGTGGCCACACCTTCAGTAGACAGCAGGATTACACAGGGATGACATCACTTAAAGTGACCGAGACATATTTATACATCTGAACGCTGTCGTCAGTGAGTGAAATGAAGATGAGGAGCAATGAAATGACCGTCTCACCACGGAGCGTAGAATTTGATGAAGGTGAAGCCCTTTGCCACCGTCTCGTCAAAGTTGCTCTCTGTGAGGTCCAGAACACCAGACTGCAGGAGAGAAACCCGCAGATCAACCGGTGCTGGACTGTGACGATCCGTATGATTACCCAACAGAGAGCCCCAACTCATGTACGTGGTGATTTAAAGAGAGATAGTCATTGAATAGAAATCAAATTATATTCTTACGTCATAGTATGCTGAAAATAGAAAAAAAGTTGGCAAAATATAGTATAGTGAAAAAAAGTAAAGTAATTCATAGTCTTGGCAGAGGAAAAAGACTCAAATCAAAACAAACAAAAATACAAATACAATACGAAAATATATACATAAATATAACAATAATAATATATGTTGACGTTGTCATAATTCAAGGTATGCAAAGAAAAGTCAGAGGGTAGAAATATAGCATGTGGAAAAAAAGTATTGAAAAAATTTAAAAGCATAGTGTGTTCACAAAAGTATTGTTAAAATATTAACAGTCATAGCGTAGTAGGTCACAGTACAGCGTGTAGAAAGTGTCCTGGTTCAGTGTGTTACGCATTAACCACAGGTTGCAGTTCTTGTTTTGTTGTAAACACTCACCTCCACGGCCTCCTGGGCCGGCTCATCAGCGGGGATCTCATTTGCTTTTGGTTCCTCTTTTGGTTCTTGATCTTGCTCCTGAGCGACGACGGCCTTCAATTGGTTGTCAACAAAGTCTTTGAAAGAGTCCAGGTCTCTTTTTCCTTTGAACTGTTCGGTCTACAAAAAAAAGACACAACCGATGCGTCGATTACACGTTTCAATGAGAGTGACACTCAGCTCGCCAATAGAGCCAAATGTAATCATGTTAGTATGTTTTATATGTATGTAGTTAATCATTCCAGTATGATGTAATGTCTTGGAGGCTGTAATAGTTTGCGATACATCTCGATGAGAAAGAACGTGACAGCTGCAGTGGCAGCAGGTCGGACGCAGACGGTGTGTGGACGGGCTCTTTATACGGTGATGGTTGGAAGTCTGTAGCGGTCAGAAAAAGACTCCGTACCTTCTGTCCGTTGTAGAAGAAGAGCAGCGTGGGATATCCACGCACACCGTTGTCCGAGCACGCCTCGTACTGCTGTGTGCAGTCCACCTGGGTCAGAAATAAAGAGCATGCAAATGCATGTTTTTACTAGAATGAAACATTTACTAGGTTTACAAGGTTACAAGGTTTACTAATAATTTGATAACATGCTTACATTATTTTAAGACAGTGATTTCTACCCAGTATAGTGTGATTATTAGTAGTTTGATCACGAACCCGTGAGACTGAGAAATGTGAGGAACCCACCTTTGCTATCTTGACGTCATCAGAGTGCTCAAAGGTGGAGGCCAGCTGTTCCCAGGTGGGGGCCATCGCTTTGCAGTGACCGCACCACGGGGCAAAGAATTTAACAAAGTGGGCACCTGAAGCGAGAGAACAGCCATGTTAGAAAAAGAAAAACTGAACAAACAGCAACAGTATGGAAATAAAAACAAAATACAAAGTAAAATGCGCTGCAGTGGAGACCAGTTTCTACATGGACACATTTAAATACTAAATCATAAAAGGAAGAAGAGATTTTCGACTTGATGGAGCTTTGTTAACAGTTGATTCCACAACAAACTCCAACCAGCCTGTAGTGTATGAAAATATACACCATATATACACGAAGGTCATACGCAACATATTAAACAACGCGTACTGGAGCTCCGTTGCCAAGACGTGGAGGTGGGACCAATAAACACCATTTTAAAATGTCGATGTCATTTCCTGCGTTCTCTCTTCTGCAAACAAGAAATCATTTATTTTTCTTAAAAACCAAAACATTCAGCCTCAGCAGAGCTTAAAATACACAACTTCAACAAGACGATTATCGTGAGCTGTTTATTTTAGCATTCGTTGTCTGAAAACCCAGAAACGTGAGGTGACCGGAGACAAGTGTTACATAGTCGGTTGGAGTTGACGTGACGTTGTGGATTTTGACTCCGGTGCTCGTGTTGAAAAGTCACTCGTGTCAATCAAGGCAATGAAGTGTTTCCATTCTCTCAAGAGGGATCTAGCAACACTACTCGTGTGTGGTTGAAAACAGAGAGCATATTTAAATTTGAGCAATAACCAAAACAAGTTATCGGTTTCAGGCAGGATGCAGCTGCATAAATACGCAGGAGGAAGCTAACAATTTAATTTCCTATGTTAAGTGACGCGTTTTCACAAAGCATTGAACTGCAAACGTTCTACTAGATCTTCACCTTTGGCTATGTGGGCCTTAAAGTTGAGAGCGGTCAGGTCATACAGGCCCTGCTTGGGCTCTGGAGCTTTAGGAGGCTCCGGTTCACTCTCTGGTTCCTGGAGGACACAAAAACAAGGATCCATAAATCCCACCGTTCTCCCTCCGCGAGAGTCGCTGGTTTAACAGCTCGACAATGACCACAACTCACTGAAGGCTCCTCCTGGATCGTCTTCAACATCCAGGTCTCCAGAGACTGCAGATCTCTGGGCCCCTGGTACTTGACTGCCTCTTGGTCGGGCCTATACAACTTCAGCCTGCATGGGACACAACAAACGTTTGGAACTGAATGCATTTCACCCATGCAAATACCAACTAGTGTCATTACAAGCTCTAGAATCCTGTAAAATGTTGGTTAAAAAGCTTCGGTCAATCATTGTCCAGTGACTGTTGTGTTGGCAGGTAAAGCATGCAGTCAGCATCTAACCAAATATTAAACTGAATACAAGCAAATGTAAAACACCTGCCAATCAGTGATGAACAGGATTTTAGATTATTTCCATAACTGTGAAATATCTGGGCTAATATTGCAAAGAATGAATATGAACAGAGGAATTCAACAGTCAGTGTGACGAGCACTTACGTGGGGTAACCTCTGATCCCGTGTTCATTGGAGCAGAACTTGGTGTCCGGGACGCAATCTACTTTCACCACGTACGCCGGGGGCTCGTCCATGTTGTTGTACTTCTCTGCCAGCTCATTCCACGTCGGCTGTAACTTCTGGCAATGGCCGCACCTGGACACGACACATCAGTGGTACAAACGGTCGGTGTGCAACATACAGTCTGGTCCGAACCATCTTTTGTCCAAACTGTGGTCCTGGTTAGAAGCGAGCGTTTGCATACATCTTATCTACACGGTTACTGGAAGTGTAGAATCACAGGCGGTGGGGGCCAAGTGATGAAGATTGCATGAAGGTTCAGAGGCGTGTTTGAGGCATTACATTCTCAAGAATAATGAGAGGCAGATGGTGGCATCTTGAGACCCCCCCTCACGGACCTCCGAGGGTCCGTGCACCACATTTTTGGAACCGTTGTAACTTCGGCTGCAGTCAATCAGTGCGTGCCACGTAAGCACATCTTCCCAAACTACAACTGTTAACGTTAGTGCCGAAATAGTTAACTGTAAAGAAACGTAGCACCTTAAACTTGGTGTAACTTCCTTGTTTAAGTTTAACGTTCGCAGCTACAATTCAGCGGCGGAAACAAAAGCAGCATTTTAAGCACTGAGGCCTTTTGTAAAAAGTGCTCCAATTCCAGTAAAGTGCAGCTTGCTAATAGTTTGGCTAGGCTAGTTAGCAGCTAAAGCTAAACACACCGGCTGTTTAAAACACCGGGGCTATGTAGCCTGCTAGTTAGCTTCTTTGCTAACTCGCCGGTTAGCTCAAAGCCAGCTCTCCATAAGCGTTTCCCGGTTGTACGTTTTGTTGTTAAAAACACACATGGCTGTACAGCTTACTGCAATTCGTTTGTTCAACTTGTTAGCATCGGGTAACTCTTCACTCACCACGGGGCGTAAAACATGACAAAGTGGGGGGCAGTGGGCACCGCCTCGTTGAACATGTCCACCGTGTACGTGTGCTTGGCGTGTTCATCTTCTTCTGCATCGGCGTCGCAAAACACGCCGGTAAACAGCAACGATAAATATATAAAACGCAACATGAAGGGTGTGCAATTCAGTGCAGAGGCCATGGCGAGTCTCTCTCGGTGGCTGCACGGGTTCCCTGCTGGAGTGGAAAAGAGCGACTCCGGAGGTACACGCCCCCTCTGACGGGCTGCGGACGGGACGCTGACAGACGGGGAGCGCCATAGATATATATACATACATGTCTATGGGGAGCGCCGTAAAGGCAGCAGCCATAGATAGATATATATATATATATATATATATATATATATATATATATATATATATACATGCATGTCTATGGGGAGCGCCGTAAAGGCAGCAGCCATAGATAGATATATATACATACATGTCTATGGGGAGCGTTAAGGCAGCAGCGCGCGGAAACCTGGTGTTCTGTAGATCTGCGAAAGCCAGCTGGCACTTTCCAACCTTTAGCAAACAGGATATGAAACAGCTGAAGTTCTCTGAAGAGGTACGGCAGCTCCCTTTAGGCAAAGGCGACTTTATTGCAGGGGAGACAAACATAGATGGCGTTAGACACTACACATCACTTAAGAATAAAGAGGACACATTGCATTACTCCTTCAGTGGTGTAGGTATTCATGCATTGTCCCCTTTTTTTATATATCAAAAAAGGTCATTTTTATATTCTCCATAATAATAATATAGATTTATGTTCTATCTTTCTATGTTTTATTTTATGATGGTATACAGCTACAGACAGGAGTGGGCAGGGGTTGGATTTGAACCTGGACTGCTGCTTAGGACTAAGCCTACATTATTGCATGAATAATTATTAAATTGATTTAACAGCCAAGGGTCTCATATACAGATTGAAAAGCACTTTTATAAAGATTGGAGTTTTTGGGCTTTTTGCATCGAATGGACTCAAGAACAGGATTTGACACTTTTCAGCGTGCAGCGAAGCATCCCCATCCATCATAACGTTGTGCCACATCCCTGTGTCATGGCTACATGGCTAATGTACCCTTTTATAGGCGAGTCTACACCTGGTTACCAGTTCAGCGTGCAAAATAAGATAATAAATATGAAGTTTACAACATTTCCCTTTAAATGTCGAAGAAAGGCCGGTCACACAAGGAAACTAAGTGAAAAAAACGTCTCGAGGATATAATTTAAGAGACATTAGAGAGTTTTCCCCCCTCTGGTATAGTAAAGAAAAGCCAAATTGGTTGATTATAGATGGCTCACTAAGTTCTGGTTGACTGCACCGCTTTGGCAGGCAGTCTCAAGTTTCCTTCACACCTAAGGCTTTCTATAACAAACTGGCCACTCTTTGAATTCCTAATGGTATGAATCTAGTAAAACATCCACCAAACGATGAATATTATGAAAATAAACCCAGGATTAAAAGGAGAAGTTAGCGTTTTGCTAAAACTATAAAAACATGTGCTCAGCTCAGGTGTCACATCGCTGCTGGTTCACATGAAAGATGGAGTGTTGGTTTTCTACACCGATGGTCAGATGTGAGTCAGAGTTGCCTCCTCAACGATGGAAAACGATGCTTGAGAGTGAGCACATTGTAAGGCAAATATAATTAATCCAATTTATTGCCCTGGATAAATAGTTCCTCTCGTGGGGGCTGTGGCCTCGCGTAATGGTGACAGTGTGCATAAATCATGCATCTATTTCGCACAACGGTGTTGTTGTGCGTGTCTGTTCCCAGAGCAGCGCGTGGCGGCTGGCTTCACGCATTGACAGTTCTCTGGCAGGTCCGTGCGCTTGACTTTCAACAAAGTCATGATTTCATGAAAGCAAATGGAGACAACCTTCTTGTGTGCAGTGTTTCCCTTTGATCGTTCCACTTTTTCCTTTCATCCGGACAACAGGAAGAGTGGGATGAGGAGAGGAGGAGGTTACAGCATGGAAACAGATGGAGGTGTCGCCCTGAGCACACCGCGCTATATAACACCACTGCAGACAATCGCATCTCTTTCATGAAGCCAGGCTTTCTCGAATGTTTATACGCTAGATGTGGGTGAAAACGATTCTACCATGCACAGGTCAGTGTTTGAAATATATGTTTTAACAGGCTGAGGTGCTTATGAAGTTCCGGTACTTTTGAGGCCGTTGTGTCGGGAAGTTGTCCGTCCGTCCCCTCGATAACTATTGAAATTCCACTTTTTAACATGCACGATGAGTTACACACACGCGCGAGTATTCTGTCCGCAGGGAACACAAGCATTCAATGGAGAAGCAATATATAATAAGAGGCATTTGACCTTGAGGCCAACAGGAAACACTCTTTAACCTTTGGCTGTAAAAGCTTTAAAGTATTTGGAGAACTTGAAATGTCGTACCTTTTGCCCGTGACCCCGCATGCCAGGAGCAGACTAGGAAACCCGTGTGATTTTTGGGCCTCACAATCATATAAGAAGCACAGCGATTCGTCTCCATTCATGTGGGCCTGAAGACTAATTGCCGCATGAGCTCAGAGTTAAATCATAAGCTAAGGAAAAGGAACTTTTATGGAATTTTCTTCTATCTTGCTGTTAGTTAATAACGATATTGACACCATTCTTACGTATCTCCATGCAAAATTTTAATCTAATCCGCCTAGTTTAGCATAAAGATTTGGTTCATGTAATCATTTTGAAAAATACAGTCTATGTGCCACATTCTTGAACCTTCCACCTCACATCAACGGTATTTATATATGGACTGTTATGAGCGCTGTGATCATGTTCCTGCTCTGATTTCGTCCACTGCGCTGACATGAAGGTGTCAGCAGTACGAGAACTCCCACCCACTAAAGTTTATTTGAGCTATTATATTAAAAAAAAAGGGGCCTTGACATCCCCTCGTGACCCGTGGTTCTCGCCGCACTCACATTCCAGCCGCTGCTCGCTCTGGGAAACGCAAATGCCTTCATGGCTAATTGTAGGTGAAAAATGATATATGAGATTATTTTCCTAGACTTTTTCACATGATAAATAACATCTACTCAAAGGCTCAACCCTCCCAAATGGGCTCTATTGTTACCATGGCAAGCCAATAACCACACATCACTATTTAATCTCAACATGTCATGTGGCTGTGATAAACACGGCCAAATTGCTGCTGACACATTTTAAATATTGTGTGGCGAAGCGGGGGGGCTGCACAGTGGTGGGTGTCTACTGGTTACCCATTGTGGATGACCAAACATGTTGCCGGGCCATAGTTAAAGTGTTGTGTAATAGGGAAAAGAGAGATTAATGGACCCTTGGGACCCGGGGACATTGTGTTTATTTTATTAATTGCTTGAAGTCAGTGGCTGAGAGTGCAGAAGTCGACAGGTGGCAAAACGGGGGGAAAGTGAGAACTGAGCGACTGAGAATAACAGAGAAGAGCAGTGTGTGTGTGTGTGTGTGTGTGTGTGTGTGAATGTGAAAACAGTCCACGCTATACTTAGATATTGTTCTTGGCCTCTAACTTCAGAGAGCGAGCAATAACTCTATGCAGGGAGCTCAGGCGCTTTTCATAAAGAGACTACACATTCCTCGGTAGAGGTACGTAAAATACACTGTATACAAATGCAGGTACAGGATATTGGATTGTGTGTGTGGGCCACACCACAATCGCGCAATGAGAAGTTTAAATTATTATTTTTTTAATTCCCCCATTATCTCGGCCTTGTAATACAATGTCGGCATAACTCTTGGCATTAAGACAGTTTAACATATTTTTTTTCAGTCAACTCTTTCTGCTTTACAGCGCTGCCAACGAACACCCTGATAAATCCTTTAAAGAGAACACTCTCTGGAACATTGGCTATTTCTGACCCAATCTAATTCTGTCACCTAAACATCTGGGAATTACCTTCCTGGACAGTCTTTCTGCAGAAGTCCTTTCTCGTCCCACACAGAGGGACATCATGGTATCCAAAGCCAAAGACTTGTTTCCATTCGGGACAGTGAGAATCATGGCAGAATCATATCCGGGACACAGGATGTGACCAGAGGAGGGGAACCAATGTCATTTGCAGACAGCCCACTAGAGCCGCTGCAGCAGACACCTGTGAGGAAAAGGACTCTCCCACATAGATGGAATACTCCCAGAAACTCTGAAAGCCTTCTAAAAAAAATCTGTGTGGCTAAAAGAAAGAGTCGCAAAAGAGAAACAAAGAGAATTATTCGAAAATGAAGTGTGTAAGAATAAATAATAATATTTATTGTAGGGGCGTAATAAAGAGAGAGAAGTCAAATGAAAGGAAGCACGTATATTATTGTGGATCACCATGACAACCCCGGCTGTATCCCAAGTGTTTTCGGGTTCTACTGCTCCCTGCTGGATCCGGGCGGACGACTAAAGCCGTGCCAAGTCTCCTCAGGTATCAACAGGGTTGGAATTACCATCATTTTCCAGACGGCCTGTGTGTAGGGTCAGCCGCCCTCCCCCCGCTGGAAACTGCTCTGCAGTAAACAGGTCGGACACTTAAAGCTGCTCCTTGAAATCAAATGTTAGTTGAGAAATTGAATCAACAACACAAACGGCCACGTAATGTTCCTAAAGGCTTTGGCGAAAGATCCAACATTTCATACAAGAGGTTTGTCAGCAACAAGAGGCCTGCGTGGATTACAGGCCCGGGGCTTCAATGGATATGAAATACATTCGTTTTTGTTAGTGAAAAACACATGAATTCATTCACAGCGATATCCGCCAGCACGGCTGTGGACTCCGAGCCTTGTTAGCTTACGTGCTCGTTTTTAAATCTATTTACAACACAGATTCGATCTGCAACTCTTATTGAGAACGATCCCTCAGCCGGCCGACCTGCAGGACACTTGTTCCAACTTGTTACTCCCTCAGACGGTCACCTTTGGCTGCCTCCTCAGCGCAAAGCGAACGGTCACTGCACGCCATGAAGTTGTGGAAAGCCCTGCCACGAGACACGCACACTACCACTGGCCATTTGTAGTCATGTCCATACGGCGACAAGGGCCTGAAGAATAAAAGAAGTGGCGCACCACTGAACAGGTGGTGCCGGACGCATCGACTTGGACTCCACGGACCCCTTTTGAGCCTTTTCACTGTTAAAGTCCCACTTCCTGCCGGTAAAGCCATCAGGATGTGCGGGGCCACATTGTGCGGGGGTTGAGGTGGGGCAGAGAGAGCGAGAAGAAGGTGGAGGACAAAG